GACATCTTGTCATTTTACTTGTTAAAGATTAAAAGATTTTACCAAGAGTTTGTGGGATATGAAATTATAATTCCTAACCACTTAGGAAAAGTGATTGGAAGTTTCTTAGAAAGTTAAATTATTACATATGCGCCTATTATATGACCAGCTAATACACTCAGGTATGTTTATCAGAGATTTGAGGGAATATATGTAAACAAGGTTTTATATGCATAAATGTCTATATGAGTTTTGTTTGTAATAACCCCAAGCTGCAAACAACCCAAATATCCATTGACAAGTGAATTGATGAATAAATGTGGTAGATTGATACAATCAAATACTACTTACCAATGAAAACCATGAGTAATGGATTTCTGTAACAACATGGATGACTCAACATAGTTACGCAGAGTGAGAAGCCAGATGTAAAAAAGGAATACATGCTGTATGACTCCTTTCATTTAAAAAAATTAGAGGATTTCTGGTTTCTGTTTCAACATGAAAAGGGCTTGGAAGTTGCATACCAATTCCTACAACAAGAAAAAATATATAGGCTTATTGAAAACCAACAGTTTTTCATCATTCAATCAAGGACTTGGAGTCACAGGAAATTTGGGGAGAGATTAACATGGAGAATTGCAGTCAAGATAGCTTGCTGAAACTACCATCTGGTAAAAACACTTTGACAGTGATTGTGATGAATTGTTGGAGGCTCAATATGGACTAATACGAGAGATAAGTACTCCTGGAGTGGGATCCATCTTAAAGATGCCTTCTCACTTTCAAGTGTTTCACTGCCAGGAACTTCACAAGGTCTTTATAATGAAGATCTGAGAAAAATCTCATTTCCAGCAGAAGGAAGAGAAAAGTAATCATTTGTAAATATACCAAGGGGTAAATTAATCATTTTGAAATATACTCAGACATTCTCCATAATATAGGTCTACTGTTCTGGGGAAACTATTATATCAGAATCTTAGTCTTATCTGACCTGGGAAGAGAGAATTTCCACAACTTGGTCCTTCTCTAACCCTTTATGTCACATAAGGGAAGGAAAACTATACTAAGAAATGCTTTGACATGGCTCATCCTAAGGAGCTAAACCCATTAAAATACTGAAAGTTAATGTTAAGATTGTAGAACATTTTCCTTTCTGGATACTTTATTAAAATACCAACAGGACTCCAGAACAATGATAGAGAATAATAACTATGAGGGGTGCAAACAAAAAACTAAGACGGAGATTCTGGGGAAACCCTCAGGCAGCAGTACAGGAAAAAACAAAACAAAAAAATGAAGGGATATAGAGGAAACTGAAGTCCCTGGCACCTCCAACTATGAAAATATTAAAAATGGCCTAGCTCTTACCCCGATTTGACATGAAACCTCACAAAAATTTAACTAACTGAGATCCTATCACCAACTACATAATTTCATCAACAAAATTACGGTGCAAACTAAAACAAGAGAAAAGAGACTGAACAGAGAACAATCAAACATTAGACCCAGACTTAGAAATGACGAAGGTCTTGGAATCATCAGACAGGTAATTTAAAATAACTATGTCTAATATGTTAATGGCTCTAATGGAAAAGTAGATGATATACAAGAACAAAAAGATGATGTAAGCAGACAGAAGGATACTCCAAGAAAGAACAGAAATGTTAAACTCAAGAACACCAGCAGAAATACAGATTGCTTTTGATGGACTCTCCTGTAGTTTGGACCCAGCCAAGGAGAGAGTCACTGAGCGTTAAGGCAGATAAATAGGAAATTCTCATACTGAAAAGCAAAGAGAAAAAATAATGCTTTAAAAAAAGCAGAATGAGATATCCATGAGTTGTGGGACATTTCCAAGAGGTGCAAGTTATGCATATCAAGGTGCCAGAAGGAGGAAGAGACAGAACATTTATTTGATGCAATAATGGCCTGGAATTTTCTGAATTTTAAATAAATACCAAAAAGCCTACCCAGAGGGCATATTCAACATGGAGGAAAGACAAAGGCAATACTGAAATAAATCAGAGGATAGAAAGTACCTTATCTATAGAACTTTACTATTATAAGTACAAGGTTTGAAAAGCAGAACAGAGTACCTTATTTGCTTTCTTTGTAAATAATGTGGTTTTATGTTTTTTTTCTGTTATTAGTGCTGTCCTAAAACAAAAATTCTGCCATCTGAGTGTTGCTTGAGAAAAGACTTCTCCTTTCTGCAATCTGGAATCTTTTTCTTTCTCCTTTGTCTGTCTCCTGATTTGCCACAATAGAACATTCTTCCAAATGTCAAAGAGTCAGGCTTTATGACTTCATGGTCCTTGCAGGTATTCAGTGGGTCAATAGGTAAAAACATTGCTGAGTAAGTTTTGGTTCAGGTACTGGGATGAGTATCACAATGAAGCCTTTTCTTTCTCAGACTCTGCATGAATTCATGGAAGAGTTAATACACTGAAGTGAACTAACAGTTTTCTTTATGAAATAAACCAAACAGCTGGAACAGCCGACCCTTTTGGAAAGTGAGATATTTTTGTAATACAACTATTGGGATAAGTAAATCTCAATTTAATGGAGAGTAAGCTGACTAAGTTAATAAAGTGAATGAGCCTTGGGAGTCTTGCTACAGTTGTGTAAAAATTCCAACAAATGTGCCCTTAACGCAGAGAAACTAAAGCAGATACCTTAAAAGCAACTGAGGCCAATAAGAGAAGGGGACCAGGAACTAGAGAAAAGGTTAGATCAAAAAGAATTAACCTAGAAGGTAATACACACACACAGGAAATTAATGTGAGTCAACTCCCTGTATAGCTATCCTTATCTCAACCAGTAAAAACCCTTGTTCCTTCCTATTATTGCTTAACTCTCTCTACAACAAAATTAGAAATAAGGGCAGAATACCCAGTTTCTGCTGGGTATTGAGGGGGTGGGGAGGAGAAGGAGGGGGTGGAGTGGGTGGTAAGGGAGGGGGTGGGGGCAGGGGGGAGAAATGACCCAAGCCTTGTATGCACATATAAATAATAAAAAAAAAAAAATTCCAACAAATGAATGCAAATTTTACTTCTGGCCAGCAGATGGCACTGTTCAGATCAATTCTATTCAAGCTCAGAAAGATTGATATATTTTTAATGAGTAATTACTTACAGTGCTGTGCTTGGGATGCAACAATAAACAGAAATAGAACCACTTATTTTCCCCATATAATTACTTACTATTCTTTTATCGTATAAGAATGGAAGCTCTGTGAAAAATACCCTAAAATGGTTATGACGTAGCCTTCTTGGGGAGGCAGTGAGGAGTGTATCACACAAGAACCATAAATTATAATATGAAACTAAGGTTAAAACTGTCACTAGAGAGGAAATTCTGGAAGTTAGAGTTAAAGCTGGTATTTTACCATTTGTCCATTGCCTTAGAACTGTGCAAGTTCCAAAGTGAAGAATGGAGCACTCAAGTTACCTGAGAATACCTCCTCACTGAGGTTATAGAACTTGCTCTACTCACTGTCACCACCTTGGGACACAGCATGGTGTCTGTCTCAGGGCAGAAAAGTAATGCACCTTCTATAAATATGTGTCAAATCTAGATTCATAGTGCTCTAATGTTAAAAATAATAGTAGTGCTCTGTAAAAAGTGCAACTTCTTTGTTGCATTCAGAAATTTCCATCTCAGAGGACTGGGGGCATGACTCAAGTGGTAAAGCACCTGCCTAGTAAGCTCAAGTCCCTGGACTCAAACTCCAGCACTACCAAAATAAATTAATTTCCTTCCCAGGCTGGATGTGGTGGTACACACCTGTAATCCAGCTACTTGGGAGGTGGAGACAGGAGGACCAAGGTTCAAGGACAGTCTGGCAAAAGTTAGTGAGACCCTATCTCAAAAAGAAGCCAGGTGTGATGGCACATACCTATGGTCCTCAAAAAAAAAAAGATCCATCTTCAGGATTTATCTCTCAAAAAAAATCCACCCTCACAATTTATCCCACCCAACAAAAGAAGAGGCAAAGGAAGCTGGTAGAGTTGAGGGGCCTCATTAGAAGGTTAAGTAGTCCATGTTAATGTTGAGAAACATTAAGACAATAACCAAATGTTCAGTGTGAGAATATAAATAGCACAGATACTTCAAAAATATTCTCTGGCATATTTAGTGGCATAATCAAACATGAAAACAAAACAAACAAATGGACTACAAAAAAGATAAGTCTTGAAGAAAATGTAGATTTGTTTCTATTGTGCAGTCTGTATGGGCATTAAGAATGACTCACATTTTAGGGAAGTTAGTTATTCACAGTGAAGATAAAAGAAAGAGTGGACCAGGTCCTTTCATCTTAATCTAGAAAACAATGTTTTTGAGACTTTCATCCATTCACTTTTAGGATGATTACTTGGAATTACTTGTAAAGATCTTTAAGCTGCTGTAGAACATACTATTTTTACGTAACGAGTGTAGGCTGCATGAAGTACCTTTTTATGCTTACAAGAATTGCATTACCATAGATATTCTTGACCTTTCAAGTGTACGTTTGAATTTCTAAGTTATATACCTGAACCAAAATATTATTTTCAACTCCCAAAAATGTCCACAAGGAATTAAGATAGGAGGTTAATTATAACTTCAATTATATTCCAGAGAAGTATCTACAGTTCTTTATAGTTGTGGTTTATTTATCTTCAAATAGTCTCAAGTGTCTTTGAGGCTGTCCTAGCTATTCTAGACTAAGAGCAGTTTGTTCAGACTTGAGGTTTAGGGCCAATACTGTCAATGACTTCATAACCATTCTCTCTTCTTTCCGCTTCTATGGATTACCCAATCCCAACAGCAATAATGATAATCTGAGGCAGCTCCCAATATGCCTCTTTATAGTCAGGGGAAGGTCAGCTATTTTTTGATCCCCATGGGAGAAAGACAGTGTCTCAATCAGTTTCTTAAAATAGTCAGTCATTCTCAGCTGCTGGGCTGGAGTCCCTCCAGGGGAGAGCAAAGGGAATACGAATCCACTGGCCAGTGTAAGTGAGAAGCCACCAAAACCTGAGCTAAGACAGGCCTCTCAACAAGATCTTGTCAACTCAAAAATCATATTCATTTTTTGTTGCTGTTGAGAAGCTAATTGTCATTTTACATTTTTTGTTTTATTTAAAAGGAAACCAGTGGGTTGAAAATGAGACTAAATATCGCTATCTTCTTTGGGGCTATCTTCGGTGCTTTGGGAGTTTTACTGTTTTTGGTGGCTTTTGGATCAGATTATTGGCTTCTTGCGACTGAAGTAGGGAAGTGTTCAGGTGAACAGAATGTGCGTTTCTTCTTCAAAATATTGATGTGCTTGGTAGTGATGAGGACAGCCTTCTGCCTCCTCTTGAAATAAGAGAATAGCAGTGGGGTGTCTATTCGTCATAGAAGGAATGTATAGGAAGCTACAGGTCATCATTGTTGGGATAAAAGACATTTATTTAAAAATTTCCTGGATGTAGTAATTTTGATTACATTCCTTGGGCTGATGGCAAGTTCTTTCATTTGTCTTCTGTGCAGCTAGAGAATGTTACTTTCCACCATGAAGGATTCTTTTGGAGGTGTTGGTTTAATGGGATTTTGGAAGAGAATGACTCCAACATCTGGAAGTTCTGGTACAGTAAGTGCAACTTGGCTTTATTTTGCCCCTTGTCCTCTGAAACAAAAATTAAACAGTTTCTTATTTAGTACAGATCACTTGTAATAGTATTGCCTTCTTTTCTGTAAAATCTCGATACCATGTCTTCAAAATTATTATGAAATCTGTAAAAATAATTATTTTACCTTCTACCATGGTATAGGAATTTGAATATTTACAGCAAAACTTAGGTATCTGCTATTTCCCTACTTGTGCTTAAAATACACTGTCTCTAACAAACAAAGCAGATAGCGTCTATTGAATTTTCTTTTCAACTGTCTATTATTTCTGTGTTGCTAACAAGTGTTCTTTTTTGGCTGTAAAGTCTTGAAATCTCAAGTGTAAAAAATCCAGAACTAGAGATATTATTTTATATTCATAGCTTCAAAGTTTAAAAAAATCCTTTTTGTGTAATGAAACTTAATTACCAGCAGTAGCAGATGAAAGCTTTTTTATTTGGGCTTTACCCAAGTTTGTAGGCAGTATCAAGAAACGCCTTGCTTTTGATGTTTGTATTCTGGTATAGAAACTTTAATGTTCTCGTTTGAAGTTAAATAACTTTATAAGACTATGATACATTATTTCAGCTGTATTAATCTTTGAAAATCAACTCACTGAAAATAGGTAGTAATCATTTTATTGTCTCCAACAATGAAAGAACTATTTATTGGCCTAAAGCTTAATGAAGGTTAAAATGATTAGTTTTCTTATTAAATACTCCTGTGAAAAATCAAAATATGTATTTACACAGTAGTCAAGATTATGGACTATGTAGTAAGAATGTAAGGCCTCCGAAGACTTAAACAAGCTGATGGCAAGTTGCCATATGGAAAGGGAACAAAGTAGTGAAAAAGGAGCATTTTTGAGAAGGACACTTGGAAGACCATCTTATATTACATTTTGGGTTGGAGAAGTAGGTATACAAGTTGCCAATGGAAATTATTTAGACAGGTAAAATGGAATAAGTCAGACTGCAAGAGGAAGATTTTGTCAAAGACTTAGAGAAAAGGAAAATGTTTTACTATGCCTTAAAGTGTACATAATGAAAATTTTAAGTTTTCTGACAACATAAAAGTTCTTGTGGCTTCTTCTGATCCTAAAATTTTATTTGAATCATTAACTTTAATGTCTTTTCAGTGAAAATAAAGTGAATATAGAAGAAATGCTCCATTAATTGGAGTTTGTCAAAGTTATAACTGGGTTTATTAGATTTTTAAAACAATTATTTTTGAATACAAACTGTGTGCTAAGCATTATGTTAGGGAATGGAAGATTCTTGAAAATAAATGAAACATCATGCCTTCAATTTTAAGGTCATACTAAAGACATTTGCATTTATTCTATCAGATTATATCATATAGCTAGATGTTCTATCTAGCTAGATATATAGCTATGTTCATATAGCTAGATGTTCTAGCTAGTCCTCTGTGCTTTTCCATAAGAAGTTTTGTCCCTCATATCACAATTTTCCAAATTTGTTGGTGGAACCAGCAGTTTATTCTTATATACCCCATGGGCTCCCGCATTTCTGTTGCATTAAGAATGAGTCATCATTGAGCTGCTTAGTAATAAAAACCATTGCTTTGCTCTTCTTCCTAGCCAATCAGCCACCATCCAAGAACTGCACACATGCTTACCTGTCCCCATACCCCTTCATGAGAGGCGAGCCTAACTCCACTTCCTATGACTCTGCAGTTAGTAAGTACCCCATCCTTCAAGTGCCTCTGAAAGGGACTTATCTTTCTTCAGGATGCCTGCTGCAAAATTTCTGTGGACAATTAAAAATAATTTGACACCTGTAATTCCAATATTTTATCAGATATTAATCTTTAAAAATTTTTTAACCCATAATTTATAAGTTTAATAGAACTTTGACCTAAAAAGTAGTTATTGTGATACACTTGCTGCTTATAAAAATAATATTTTTAAAAATGTGTTTTTAGATATGAAGATATTTTCTATATGAGCTGCTTCCTAAGGCTTAACTGACCTAAAACCAGTCTTATAACTGAAAGCATTATAATATACATACTACTTTAAAAACTTTTTGCCAGATTTACACATGAGAATATGATTATTCTTCTTTATTCATACAAAATGACTGAACTCTGTTGAATGTGATATCCTATAAAAGAAGGAAAATTGGACAGTATTAACTGGAAGTCATAGTAAAAATAAGCTTTCAATAACTAAAACCAAGGGATTTATATAGGCTATTAATGCCAAAGAGAATGCTAAAAGTATTTTTTTCAAAAGGAATAGCTAATATGTTTAATTCTCAGAGTAAACTTGCATTATTCAGATTTTTTCAGATAAAGAGATCCAATAGAATATATACATATGTGTGTGTGTGTGTGTGTGTGTGTGTGTATACTTGAGTCTCTGATATAAAACAGCATAGCATTTCCATAGAACCTACAAACATCCCCCTGTGTACTTTAAATCAATTCTAGATTACTTTTAATATTTAATACAATGAAATAGTTGCTGTGCTGTGTTGTTTAGGGAATAATGACAAGAATAAAAAGTGTGTACATATAGAACCCACAGACATGAATAGCTGATCTGATACATATATATATATGTGTGTGTGTGTGTGTGTGTGTGTGTACACACATATGTATATGTGTCTGTGTATATCTATCATCTATGTATCTATCCATTGAGATTGAGGGTGGGAGGAGAGGTTAGCTTTCTAGCTTTCTAACTGTTGAGAGGTTAATTTTAAAGATTTGGCTAACATGACTGTGGGGCCTAGCAAGTCTAAAATCTGTTGAGCAAGCTGGCAGGCTAGAGATAAAGATACGAGGTGATGTTGCAGCCTTGAATCTGAAGGCAGGAAGCTCCAATAGAATTTTTATGTTGTAGCCTAGTGACTGAATTCTTTCTTCCTTTGGAAACCTGTCTTTGCTCTTAAGGCCTACAACTAATTGAATGAGGCCCACCCACATTGTGGAGAGTACTCTGCTTTACTCAAAGCTAACTGCTTGTAAGTGCCAAAGAATACCCTCACAGAAGCATCTAGCTTTGTGTTTGACACAATCACTGGGCACAATAGTCTAACCAAGTTGACACAGAATATTAACTGTCTCAGAACTTAACAAATCCTTACATAATTTATCTATTTTTCATCTTTCTGGCAAATATCCATTTCCAAACATTATAATCTTGTTTTATGTTTATCAAAGAACATAGCATGCCTTTATCACATTAATATTACACTTTATGGAGCAGGTGTGGGTCTGGATAGGAAAAGAGATGAGATGACCTATAGCTGTGGTTATCCACCCAGAAAACTTGGGCTCAAAGGACTGTGGTTATTGGCCTTAAAAACGTGTGTGGTGTGGCTGGTCTGTCCCATTGAAAAATGCACAAGGCATCTCACTCAACATTTGTTAGAGCCTTTGTGTTGGGCCAAGTGGTATCTATACACAATGGAATTTTATGCAGCCATGAAGAAGAACGAAATGTTATCATTCGCTGGTAAATGGATGGAATTGGAGAACATCATTCTGAGTGAGGTTAGCCTGGCCCAAAAGACCAAAAATCGTATGTTCTCCCTCATATGTGGACATTAGATCAAGGGCAAACACAACAAGGGGATTGGACTATGAGCACATGATAAAAGCGAGAGCACACAAGGGAGGGGTGAGGATAGGTAAGACACCTAAAAAACTAGCTAGCATTTGTTGCCCTTAATGCAGAGAAACTAAAGCAGATACCTTAAAGCAACTGAGGCCAATAGGAAAAGGAGACCAGGAACTAGAGAAAAGGTTAGATTAAAAAGAATTAACCTAGAAGGTAACACCCACGCACAGGAAATCAATGTGAGTCAATGCCCTGTATAGCTATCCTTATCTCAACCAGCAAAACCCCTTGTTCCTTCCTATTATTGCTTATACTCTCTCTACAACAAAATTAGAGATAAGGGCAAAATAGTTTCTGCTGGGTATTGAGGGGGGGAGCGGGAGGGGGTGGAGTGGGTGGTAAGGGAGGGGGTGGGGGCAGGGGGGAGAAATAAACCAAGCCTTGTATGCACATATGAATAATAAAAGAAAAATGAAAAAAAAAAAAAAAGTGTGGATGCGCTTACTGTCGGAGGAGACGTGGAAAGAGCAGAACAAATTATTTTGGTTTACAGAAAAGTTATAAAGAAGGTGTCCCTTCCCCAACATTATTACTTTCATAAAAATAAGCTAAGAAGTATTACACGGTGGAATTTCCGGAAGATTAGGTAGTTGCATTAATATCAGCATTGTTGTTATTAATTTTCTGTGGTCCTTCAATGAGAAGGACCCCATATATTTAAAAAGGAATCTACATATTTGAATGTTTGCACCTCCAGGAGATAGTGGAGAACAAGAAAAAAAGGTAACATAATCTATGCATAATAATTATGATGGAGATGGATAGTAACTGCATGTCAGAGAAATTATACTGCAATTACACTTAGAATTATTATGTAGCACTGCATATAATTAGTGTGTCAGTTTTTGGATCTAGTGACAAAACCATTTCCAATTTTTTTTTAAATTATCAAACTCTTCTTTTGGCACACATATTATAACTCCTTATTCACTTTAAGCAACTTTATCAAACACTTTGAATAAGAATGGCCAAGATGTGTAAAGATAGGTCCTACAATGGAAATGGCCCATGAGTTTCATTTATCTTCATAAGAATGACATCTTATAAAGGTATCTAATGTTTGTGGGATTTAAGTTTTTCTTTATTTGTTTCCTGTATCCAAGAGAATGGAGTAGCTTTCATCAAAAGTATTCTACCTGAATTTTCTGTATGTATTTCTGACTTAGTGAGACTACATAGTCTTCACAAGACCCTAGAACTACTATTTAGCTCTATGTAGCTTCAAAATTTTCAACCATTATACACTTATCAAGTTGTTTTCAGTAAATTGAAAGTGTTATTTATAAAATCTGCTGTGTGGTGATCTGGAAAGTTGTTGGTAAAATGATTTTGTATTCACCTGAGTTTTAACAATAACAATTGGCCAATGTCAAATGCAGTGAAAGTAGTACAACGAATGAATGATATGTGATTATTTTTGGAGTGACTCTTAGAATCATAGGACATTACTGATGACATTACAGACTGAGGCTTTGAGAAATGATAGAACTATGTTTTCATAGAGCTGATTGTTGGCAGAATTAATGCAAAGACCCAGGTCTCTGGTCTGTTTTACTGATAAGCTTATAGACTACAATGAATGAAAGGGCTGATAGTAGTGCTTACTCTTAAGAAGTGCGTATTTTCTATTTGTGTCTCAACCAAAAAACAAATTAAATCTCTACTTTCTGTCTAAACCTGACCCGTGTGTATAGTCAGTTCTAATTCAATATTTCCTTTAACTTTTTAACTCTCAAATTCAATTATTCTCAAATCTAGTTATTTGAAAGATTACTCAAGCCTAGTGAGAGTGGCCCAGTTCTGAGAGCTGTTTTTGAGATAGGCTTGCACAGTTTGATTTTCATTAAACAGATCCATTACCTTTTGACATCTGTCAGAGTTTAGATTTTCTGGCTTGTTTCTTGGGCATGTTCTGTCATAGTTCACTCATTTAATAATGACATGCTGATATAAATTAATTTCCAAGATGATTCCAACCCTGAGTGAATTAATTTTTTGTTTCTTGGTGTCCACATATTCTGACCCCCCCCAACATATTGAAATGTGTTATACTTAGCTGTAATTGTTTACCTTGATTCCCTCAATTCTTCCAACTCCCTTATTGCATAGAATATATGCAATATTTATAATATCGTATTTATATCCCTAGAACAAAGGATAGTGCCTTTCAATTGGGAGATGCTTAAAAATTTGTGCAGATTGACTTTTTTTTTCTTTTACAAAAATTACTTTTATGATTTTCAGCAATAAGCCATTTTAACTTTGTTTATTAGGTGGAAACAATTTAAAACTGAATGGCATTCTTGAGATTCTTCTTATACTTTGACAGTGTTGGGGATTGAACCCAGGACTTCACACATGCAAAGCATGCATTCTCCCACAGAGGTTTATCCCCAGACCCAATTTTTTATTAAGCAGCATATATTGAACTTAATTTCATCTTTTCTTGGTGAATTACAATAAAAAGGCACATAAAGGCTGGCCACTATGACCTTCAAGTTCTGCAGATTTTGTATCTGTTGCAAGCCTCACAGCTTTCGCATATGCCATGACCCTCCTCAAATGCTGTTCCCCTCTTCCCACCCACTCCTCCTTCCATTTCTCCAACAAAGCAGGTTTATCCTTCTAGCTAGTTCAAATTTTAGTCTTTTGAGGAAACCTTCCTTGCTATCCCTTACCCCACTAATACATGGACTGGGCCCGGTTCTCCTTCACAAAATCACAGTTTAATTTGATAATTCACGCCACACATTTTAATTTTTTACTTGTATAATTATTTTATTCTTGTATTTTCTTTTCATTTCAACTCTAATCTCTGTGACAGTGGGGTCTTGTCTCACCATTTTATTATATCCACCCTATACTAAATGCACAATGAATATTTCGGGGGGCAGCCCATTATCACACTGTAAGTGTGACATGGATAATGATACCTAAGTAGCTATTGATGTGTTAGAATTCATGAACTCTTTACTAAATGGACCTAGATGCTCTTAAAACTTTTTGCATGCTTTTTGTTTTTGCCTGTCAGCAGTCCTTTATTGTCAATCTAGTATTATTTTCCAGTCTTTCCACTTTTTCTACTTTTATAGAAAGTGTAAGCTGAAGTGAATGATGTGAGACTAGCATCAGGATGACAGCTGGGTCAAGTATTTGTCAGCAAAGAGTTAGGCTGCA